AATTCCACCCACCCACCCTACTTATTAGGATTATGTGTATCTTGTAGGGTGAAATCATGACAGCAGCTTGGCTTGACTCTTCTTCAGAGAAGGAAAGACCTTCGTGGTTTAGGCATCTGGCTGTGGAGTCAGAAGTTGTGAGTTCAATTTCCCACTGTGCCTCTTTGATGAGGGAAGCTGGACTTGATAATCCATAGGATCCCTTCCAGCTCTGCAGTTCTAAGATCATTTCTTAATTGTCATCTGAGATATCATTACATTCTGAGGTTAAGCCCTGTTGATGAGCCCTCTCAGTAATGATTGCACAGCACTGAGAGTTCGGTTAGAGGTCCCTCATGATCCCCTCCCCAGCAAGCCAGCCCTGAGTCACTCAGATGCCTTCATATGTGGTTTTGCTTCATGTATATCTCAGCAACAGTACTACATTCTTGGCATTCCCAGAATGCACAACCCAATCCCTCCCCTTCCCCCCTTTTCCTTGTTAATTAGCTTCACCAGGCTTCTCTGAGTTTGTTCTCAATTTCCTTCTTCAATCTCTCTCTCTCTCTCCCCTCCCCCCCATCCCTTTTTCTGGCACAGATAAAAGACTTATTCCCTGGGCAAGTTAGCACAGGCTTGCTCCAAGCAAAGAGAGCGTAGAGATAGCTGTCATTTTGAAGAGAATTTCTGTTAAAAATCACATTCCTGAAGAGAAAAACAAAGATATTTCTTCCACTTAATGTGTTAAGAAGACCCTGGTGGATCAGACAAGCAGTCAGTTTAGAGCAGTGCCCTGTCTGCTACAGTAGCTGAGAAGATGCTTCTGGGAAACACCCAACTAGGACATGAAACCATTCAGTTTGTCTTTGCTCCCTGTGGTATGCTGCCTCTCAGCCTGGAGGTTCCACATAGCCATCAGCAGTCAAAGACTTATATAGCTGGGAAGAAGAGAAGACTCCTAATTTCAGTTTGCTCATCAAGATTGAAGCCTGGAGATCACTTAAAATAAACAGAAATATTTAAAACATCTCCCCACCTGATATCTTGCTTGTGGGCTTCCCATAGTCAATTAAAACTGCCCACTGTGAGAAACAGCATTCAGGACTAGTCACATCCAGCATGGCTCTTCTTACGATGTTATGGTCTTAAATTTATTCCTTTCACATTTCCCTATACAAATATTCATGTAACACTTTCCAAGACTGGCAGTAGGACCAAATATATTTGTCTCATGAGGCTCTGTATTTTCATGCCTCATGAGGCATGTTGATGAAGTCAAATGCACACAAAACCGTGTGTGTTTGCATGTGTAAATGTTTAAATAGATGTGATGTGTTTTAATGAATGCATATTTAAAAAAATATTCTATATTCATCAAATATGCATTTATAAAAACACATGTATTTAAAAACTGCACAAACACACTTTAGTTAGCAGGAGAACATAGGAAAATTGCCCACTGTAAGAAAAAATATGTACACAAACGTTACTGTGCACAAAAGGAGGGAAAAAGGTCTCACAGGCTGATGTGAATGAGAATGCCAACAGGATTCTAATTTCAACAACTATGACATTGACACATTTTTATACCCCTGTCCTTCAGTTTCATATACTGTTTACCCAGCGGTCTAGTACAACCAGAACTAGCCGTGTTCAGGTGCTGGAACCTTTAGCAGATATAGCAAGGTCATTTGCTAGTTTCCTCAGTCTTCATCTGAAAACTTCTCAACAGCCAGGAGGCTGATGGGAGGAATAGCTTTTCTGGGCAATAGTATAGTATTGGGAGCCGAATCTGTTTCAGGGTTTCAGGGCGGCTCGTTCATAAGGGAACCTTTGAAACCCACTAATCTTATAAAAGACCTGCTCATGGTGGGAACCAAAGCACGGCAACTGGTTTGTTACATGGGTTTACACAGCTGTCTGCATTTTTGAACTCTTGCTTTGGATGTGTGAATATGGGAAATGTCACGATGAGCACCTGCACTCAGAAACTGGCAACCTGATACTCTTCAGATATTTCAAAATACACTTTTCGTAAGCCCCATCCTGCATGGCCAATGGGAAAGGATGAGAGGAAATCAAATCAGCTGGTGGGCACCAAGTTGACTGCCTCTTCTCCCACATCAAAAGGTATCACTATATTGTCACATATATCTTCTCCTAGTCCAGCTGTGTTTTCTTTCCTTTCTACACCCACACTACTTCAAATTCTACAAAGGCTCCAATTCTGCTATTTATTATACATGACCCAAATATTTTTTTATTACATGGAGTGAGAGTAAGTGTTGTGAACAGATCACTTCAACAGAGTCTGGAATGACCCATTAAGGAATTCTGAACAGGTTTGTTTCCCTGACAGCACGACTGTGTGCATTTTAAGATTAAGACCAGTCAATTCCTAATTTTTATTACTGTTCTCTTCAAAATGCCTCACACATCCAGCTTATTTGCAGAGCCAGCAAAACAGCAAATGTAGCTAGAGGTGCACCGTCAAAGCAAGATGGAGGCTGCAGAAAATGCCGCAGTACAGTGCACTTGAGTCTTGGACTGCAACTCCCAGAATCCCTTGGTCATCATGATCATTGACTTTGCTGGCTAGGGCATTTTGGGAGTTATAGTCCAAAAGGTAACTTTTCCAAGCTTCGTTTCCTATACTAGACAAACTCATTTGTGACCTCTATGCATGCGTGTATGCATGTGCATGCATGTGTATGCAAATAGGATCATGTACATGCAAGGTTGGATCAAAGCATTTCGGTGGGTGCCAAATTTCGTGCCAAAATGAATTTACAGTAAGAAACATAATGGTAAAATAAGTTAATGTGAAGGATTCTTTAATGTGAAGGATTCTGGCTCTCATGTGCTCTCCCCCTCCCCCCCCCGTGAAATAGAAATTTTTATTGATTTATCTTCACATAAAGCCAGCCAGACAACCATGCCTCTGACTAACTATCTGTAAGGGATAAAAATGCTTTTCTGATTTTTCAGGGTTAATCCCCTCATTAGGCAAATCTAAGCAGCTGCCTCTGTTGATAAATACTATCCTTTGTAAATGTAAAAAAGATTTATAGCTATTCTACATTAGATGGGGGGAGTCAGCTTTCCCTAACTTGGCACCCTTGTGATTGGGGGATTATGGGAATTGTAGCCTTAATGCAATCAGAGTGAGGGAGGCCGAGAGAGAGGCAATCAGGTGATGTGCAGTTAGACAATGGTTCTGAATCTTTGGTGCTTTTGACCTTTCCAACTACAACTCCCAGAATCCCTGTCCCTAGGCATGTTGCATGGACATCTGGAAACTGAAATCCAAAATAATAAGAGGATGAAAGTATGAAAACCACTGTAATAAGAAAAACATTACATTACACAGCTGCTGAAAGTTTTATCTGTGTCCAATGCATGGCACTGGAAGAAGCTGACATGATGTCAGTTTTACCTCATAACGCATCTGGGCCTTGAGTGTGAGTGATGTTACCTTCCCCTTAAGCCTTGATACCTTGAATCACCTAGAGCTGCTTCCTCAAAATGCTCCTCTGGAAGTCATACATACCCTATGCTAGTTTTATATCACTTAATGGATTAGATTGCGTACGTTGCTTTGGAGCGTCTTTTGTCCTTCCAGATGGACTACAACTTCCATCAACCTAAGCACTGGCCCTACAGTGGATTAGAACCATAACCCAAAATACCTGGAGGACAACATGTTGGGGAAGGCTAGCTGGATTAGGCTCATGGGCCTTTCAGTCTGCCTGTGCTTCTGCTTTTCATCCTATAGCAGTGGAGTATCTGACCCTCGAGATGTTTTGAAGCCCCAAACACTGGAAGGCCAAAGGTTCCTAAGACTTTCTATACTCCAAGCGACAGGGGAAAATAATTGGATACCCCATGAGTTGCTCGGTGTTTACTCACAAGTCAGCTACACTGCTAAAGCTAGTTGCCAGGCTGTTTGGCTCCCAGCAAGAGGGTTCCCTTCATGCAAACCCCACTGAAAAGAACAGGGAGCTACACGAGAGTATCCCACTGAGGTGCAGCATTGCTTATATTCATACAAGGAGAAAAATGACAACAATTAGCTTTCAGAATGTGGCAACTTGCAGCTGAAACCTGTGTGGGTACTTTCACATATGAACATGAAAAGGGAAACATTAAAACTCTCATAACTTCCTTGCACAACTTGTTTGGTCCTTAGAATCGATGCATCTTCCCCCTCTTTCTTTATGCTGTGCTAGTGAACTACATTTTGCTGCCCTCAGGGTGATGGATTAGGTGTGTGTTCTTTCGAATTGGTTTCTCCATATGCACTACAATTTCCATCATCCAAGTACTAGATGATGATTAGCTGGATTCTTGATGTGATCTTACAAGGACCTTTGTATTTATTCTCTCCCACTCACCCTACCCCCACACACATGGGGAAAGCCGTCCAGACATTGTTGCAGTACAACTCCCATCGCCATTGCCTACCAAATGTACTGGTTGGGGCTGATGGGAAAAGGGGTCCAACACCATCTGCAAGGCTGCAGTTACCTCCACACTTAACCTAAATCCATCCGTTCTCAGAGTGTGTAATTTAATAATCCATCTTTTTTTTAAAAAAAAAAAATTCTCTCCCACCATACCCATCAATCTTCCCTTCTCCACATCCCAGCTTTTCCTGTTTCCCTGTTCCCTTTCTGCCCATTGTTTGTTCAAAGGCCTAAAAACTGCATGTCCAGTTCCTTACAAAAAAAAGATGGCTTCCTTCTCTTTAATGTTTATCACTGGCCAGTTTCTCCCAGGCAAGAAAAACAAATATTTTGTATGGCCTTAAACCAACACAAAAGCCATCCTCTCTGGCGCCACAAAGTCAGAGGGTTTTATGCTGTTGTTTTCCCTCCCATCCCAATCATACTGTTACCCTACCCCCATTTTGGTGTGTGTGGGGGGGAGAGGATGGGCTATCCTGTTTTTTCAGTATCCTCTTAAACCACACACTCTTTTGACATCCCTGATGGGAAAAACTATCAAGAAAGACTGCCATTTTGGGCAAGAAAAGGGGGTGGTTGAAAACCTCCATCCTTGTGGTTGAATTTTTTTTCCTTTTCTTCCTTTTCTGACTTTTTTTTTTAACTCTTGGCAGGTGGCTGATGTAAACCACATGACGGTTCAGCCCCTGAAGTCTTTTTTTTCTGGATTCTGTGTGTGTGTGTGTGTTTGGGTGTGTGGAGTGAGTGTACCTCATTGAAACCAGCTTGCTTACAAGGCAAGTCAACCCTCTCCATTCCCTCCAGTAGAGTACAGCCTCCTGCAGCCCTGTGAAGGGGCTTGACACACACAGCTCTCCGGTCTGCTGGCAGGCGGAAAAAAAAAATCAGGAGTAGAGAAACAGGAAAAAAAGAAGAAGACGGGGAGGAGGAAAGGCGTTCTAAAGGCAGCAGAAGGCACATCGTAACTTGGTTGGAGAAGAAAAGTCTGCCCAAGGGTGGGATACTCAGGACCAAATTCTGACCCAAAGGTACATTTTCTTTCCCCTTTTCATTCTGCATTTCTCGTTTAGTGTATGCTACTAACCTCCAGCCTTGCTGCCATCATGTATCGTCATAATGGATGAGTTAAATTTAGTGGACCACACAGTGTTCCCAGCTGTGGGAATGAAAGCCAGAAGTTTTGGTTTCTAGAATCTTTGCTTTCAATAAGCCTTACTTCTAGAGCTTTCACATTCTAACCATCAGACCATATGGCTCCCTTCCCTACTCACTCACTGTGTCCCTTCCTGTCCCATTGATTGCTACTTCATTTTCATTCTTTGCTCCAGCTCTTAGAAACCACAGTCCTCATAACTGCTGAAGATCTTCTTGAAAACAAATCTTAGATGCTCTCTCTGGTTTTATGTCTGTAGTGTGGTACAGGCAGTTGTCTGAAGTCTTAATTTTTTAAAAAAAACACCTTACAAATATTTGTGTGTGTGTGTGTGTGTGTGTGTGTGTGTGTGTGAATTTTATTACGATGGAATTGTTATCTGCGGCTGTCACTTCTCTACATCCTCCTCCCTCTTCTCACAATCTGATGAGAATCAGGCTGTTAACAGCTTGCTCTTAAACTCCCTTGTTCTCAAATTTCGATTTGATACTTTCATCTCCTGGGCAGCTGCCTAACACTTTTAAGAACAAGACAGGTTTTCTTGGTTTTCTTTTTCCCTCCCTGGAACAAACTCCAGAGTTCCCAGGATGGGTTGCTGTTGCTGGCTTTACTCGCCTTGGAAAGGAACTTTATAGACCAGTATAAAGTTGGGGCCATATTCTGATCTCAGCCATAATTATTGCAGTGGAGGTGGGGGGACATGGAGGAAGCTACTCTTGCTCCATTACCATGACTTTCCCAAACTGTTTTCCCCTTTCTTTTTTCTTTTCTTTTTTGGGGGCATCTTTCACTCACTGTGTGTTCTCTGCCATGTAAATGTCAGAGATGACCCTATCATAAAGCAATATGGTATGGTTAACTCAAGAGTTGTATATTTTGTTTTG